ATCTACAACTTACACAAGACAACTGAATAAAGCAGTTTGGTTCATAGGTTAAATATATATTTTTTTGTTTAAAAAAACTACCACTTTAGCTTTGTTTTGGCTTTTTGATCACATTGAAACACGTGTGTGTGTGTGTGTGCGTGTGTGTGCGTGTGCGTGTGTGTCTGTGAGAGGTTAATTTTAGAGTATATGGTCAGGGTTAGGCTATAAAGTCTAAAAAACATGAATGGAAGTCAATGGAAGGTCCCCACGGGCCCAAATGCATGTTCCAGGTGTGGGGTTAGGTTTAGGGTCAGGTAAGTTTCTGTGAGGTTAATTTTAGAGTATATGGTCAGGGTTAGGCTATAAAGTCTAAAAAACATGAATGGAAGTCAATGTCAGGTCCCCACGGGTCCAAATGCATGTTACAGGTGTGGGGTTAGGTTTAGGGTCAGGTAAGTTTCTGTGAGGTTAATTATAGAGTATGTGGTCAGGGTTAGGCTATAAAGTCTAAAAAACATGAATGGAAGTCAATGGAAGGTCCCCACGGGGTCGAGAAACAAACGTGTGTGTGTGTGAGAGAGAGAGAGAGAGAAAAGAGAGAGAGAATCTGGTTTATTGCCATAATCAGTGAACAGGATTCACAGACTAGGAATTTGCTTTGGTGTAAAGGTGCAATAAGTATGAAATATAACAAAGAAAATACAAACGATAAAAGGAAAAATATTTAAAACATATGTACACCAGTTCAACACACATTTATTTATATATATATATATATATATATATATATATACACATACATACATGCATTTTATTTTGGTAGATATAAAGGATTTCCGGTAAGTGGGAGCCATCACCCTGTTACCGAGGCAACGGCAGATATTGCTCCTGTATCGGTAAAGATGACTGAACTTTTTACTTTGAAAGAGTCGGTTTTGTTTTACTTAGACAGGAGTGGTGGTCTTCAGAAACTCGTAGACGACTGTAAACTTCTAAACGGTACCGTGTTTCAGCTGTGTGTCCCAGGCTAAAAACTTGTCATGTCACTTTTTTTAAGCTAATTGAGATTAGCTTRTGTTTGCTCCTATAGACCCGCAGCAAGTCGACGCAGTCTACAGGTTCAAGATCAGTGTTAATCCTTCTGATTTAATAGAACTGGACCCAGTCCTGGGCCACTGTGTTCTGCATGACCCGCTCAGAGCAACAGTTCTGTTTCAGTCCGTAAGTGGTTAATAAATGTCGCAAAAATGATATAATTAGATAAATCTGCTGTTAGCATGAAGGTTGATTTGTCCACATCCAGGTGTGCTTCCTGGCTATAAAGACTCTTTCACTTACTGAAAAAATACAAACTGCGAGTCAGGTGAGTTATCGGCGTTTTTACTTAATGAACAGGAACCGTCTGACTGAGGTGGCTTTAACTGTCTCACAGTAACACTGAGTGTTGTATAAAGTACCACAACTTGAGTAAAAGTACAAGTATCATACCAAAAAATTACTTTGGTAGAAGTTAAAGTCTCTTTTAGGAATATTACTTGAGTAAAAGTCTTAAAGTATCTGATAATTTTTGTACTTAAGTATTAAAAGTAAAAGTATTGATTTAAAATGAGCAGTTAGATTTTCCATAATGACATATATTAGGTGACCTCCCCCCAAAAAAATGCAGAGATGATTATATTGTATTAAAATTATTAATTTATGTTAAAATTTAGGATGCACTGTAAAAAAATATGAGCAATATTCAAAGAATGTTCTTTTGACATGTATTTCTTTATATATGGGTGCTCAATAAAAAGATATTTTAAAAAATAGGATGCACTAGTCTAGCTGTTTCAGTTTCTATACATATATCAAGGGTGCACAAACCTTTTCCCCAAAATGAAATCTATCCGAGAGCTGCAGCCAAATAGAATAATATAATTCATGAAATACAAATACTTCTTAAGTACAGTCCTTTTATTTTAATGATTATGTGCTGCTGAGTGTGACATGAATTGTTTGTGTAAACTAATACGGAATCAGAATTTTATTTATACTTCTTATTCAACCACAATTAAATTCACTCCATCTAGGAGCAACAATTTATATGAACAGTATTTATTTTTTACAATAAGCTGGAATGAAAACAAGCAAAAATAACTTTCTACTTCTTACCTTTTTTTTTAAATGTAAGGAGTAGAAAGTACAGGTAATTGTGTGAAAATGTACAAAGTAGAAGTAAAAAATAGGCTGAAAAATAATTACTAAAGTAAAGTACAGATATCCAAAAATTCTATTTAAGTACACTAACAAAGTATTTGTACTTAGTTACTTTACAGCTCTGGTAACATTGTGTTCTGGTCACATTAAGGTAAATGTCACACTGATCTTTACAAACCTGCCTCCATTCCCCGAGTACACGCTGGACCTSTGCAGTTTCCCCCGTGTCTACGGTCCTATGAGGCCTGTCTCCATGGAGGGGGTGGTCATTGCCATGACAAGAATAACAAAGTACACCCAGGGAGCCAGGTTTCTCTGTACTAATGATGACTGCCCCTGCTCTACAGGTACATTTCAATTACATTTTATTAACATGTTTGGATTTGAAGGAGCTGGTCATTCTGACTTCCTTGCAATTTTTGATCTTGCCCAAGGGTTTCCCTAATAATTTTATTGTATACCATGATCTGCTCTTATTTATTTTGTTTATTATACTAACACTAACCGACTGTACTGAATATAAAACGATTTGCATTCACACACAACAGACAACATGGCAAACAGATCATTTTAATCTGTGTTTTAGGACAATTTCTTCATAGTATGACAACTTTTACAGTTCCTCTAACAAAAGGGTTTTAGCAGTGGTGTGGTGGGCAGAGTTCCCCTAAAGCACTAATAGGGGAACTAATTTCCTGATGCTTTAGGGCTTTTGCTAATTTTAGAATTTATTAGAGGATTAGCACTCGCTAAATTTCTAGGCTAAATTTAGAAGCACTAACTGAGGTCTATAAATGTTATTTATCAATGTTAATGTTAACAGCTGAGGGTGAAAGCTGTCAATCATTTTGTTATGTGTGTTAATTATCCACCAGGTGACACTATATTGACAATATATGAACCCAAATAAGGCTGTGGAATGTCAATGATAGTCTTAAGAGAGCAACATGTCAACATGTGACTCATGTTGTCTGCTGAAGAATGTTCATGGGTTGACTGGGTTATTTTAGTGCTTTAGAGTTAGGGGACCTAAATATTTGAGTTAGTGTTTTAGGACTAGTGGAACTAATTTTTAGATTAGTGTTGCCCACCACTGGGTTTCAGTAGCGATAATATGGTCTAGGGCAGTGGTTCCCAAAGTTGGGGTCAGGACCCCATGTTGGGTCCTGAAACATCGAGGTGGGGAAGAAAAGATTTCATTAAAAAAATTCTAATAACTTTTCCTTAGTTATTACAGAGGAGTGTGGTTAAGATTGTTAAGATGTTCCTATGCCCTTGTTTATTTGATCTGACTTCAATGTATAACAGCCAAATGTAGTTGGAGGCGCAGGTCTCTGCTGCTCTTTTATTGGTCAGAAGCTCAAAAGSCTTGGGAACCACTGTTCCAGGGTTCCACCACATCCGAGTCCACGCACCCGGAGCCACCGAGTCGGCCACAGTGAGAAACGACTTCATCTGCATGATCTGCAGCTCCCAGCTGAAAGAGGACGTGAAGTTCAGAGTTTTAGGAGGTGAGAGTTGCTCATTGTGTTTGGACCCTGCATTGTTGTATTGTTTGAATATGTCAAGTTATTTTTGGAAAACAGACAAACAGCTGGTGGAGCTGATCCACGTCGAAGCGTTAGACGTTCTGAGAGGTCATCGGCACGGCTCTTTCAGATACCAATCTGTCACCCTGTTTCTGAGAGGTAAGCCTGCAAATCTGTGAACACATAGTTGAAGAAATTTAAAGTTATTAGAGGTTAGTACTGATGTTAAAAGCACAACACTATATTTTTAGGTTTTCCTTTTTGTAATGTTGACAGTGTTTAATCTATTATGTTTTGATTGATATAGATTAGTTACATGTCCGAAATATGTGACAACACATATTCAACCGTTATGATAACAGTAGATGCGGATTTTGTCTGAATGCCTGTGATTCAGCCGTAGGTCAGTAGAGGGCGAACGCAGGCATTGAAGAAGATGTATAAATACATGAACTTCCTGGTTTTTGGGTAGTGTTGGTTTCCTGTCAGCTTGAGCGACAATAAACCTCACTCAGATCCAGAATTCTGGTGTTGTATGGTTTGATTCCTTCTACAAATCATTTTATTTAACAATGGTGTTTTTAACATCGACTTCAGTTTATTGAATACGAATTTTCTTAGTTTTTGGTGACCCCGACGTGATATGAACACACAACCTTCTGAATTTTCTTACATAGTAATGAAGTAGCAACATATATATAGAAAAATAATCAAAATGACCAAGATTATAAAATATAGAGTCGCAATGAAGACTAAACACCAGCTGTTCACATCAGTGACTTTCTTTTAACAAAAATACACAACTATCTTTTTACCAATACAATGCTGACATGTCCATAAAGGTTCAAACCCAAATCTTCTTTTGCAAACAGCATTTTGTGCTTCTTAGCATCACAATCAAAACACCTGCATTATAAAATGTGTGAAGACATGAAATAATTTTCTATTAATGTATGAAACAATGCTACAGAATTGGTCAGTCTTCCTACCACAAACCAGAAATACAAATTGCAACAGCTTCATGTGATTAAGATAAACCATTAAATCATACCAATACTAATACCAATATTATCCTTAACATCGAGCTTTTGTTGTGCAAATACTTCAGATAAATAGCTATGATTTTTAACGCTAAGCTGATCCTTTCGATACTTTACTGATTGGTGAACATAGTTTAGTTATGACTGATTCACTAACCAAAGTATAAAATAACCCATCCTAATGTAAATGAATATCCTCCAAATAAAAGTGTATTATTTGTTTGTACAGTCAGATTCTCTTCCTTTACACTCCCTCCCTGGTTACCTTCTATTTAGTCACATCTGTTGTGGTTAACCATTCATATTTGTGGTTTTCTAACAGTCTGCAGCATAAACTTATTGAGAGTTTAATGAGTATATTTTGGAACAGCTGTGCCTTATGGTAAGATATTAAGCGTTTCTGTCCCCTCTAATAACAATGTCCTGCTAGGACCCCTGAGAGGTTAGCAAACCTCAGCCCCAGGAATAACATATTCAGTTGACCCGGTCCTGTGGAGGAACTCAATACAGCAGGTTCCTGTTACTAAACATATGTTAATAGGTTGCATGGAACACTCATTAGTTGGCCGTGCTGTTCACACAGAGAATTCTTTGTTCTTCGTTCTGTTTGTCTTGGCAGAGCTTGTTAGAGGTGTGCGTGTTTCTGTTTCAGCGGAGAGCAACCTCTGAATGTCTTTGCTTTTTTTCTGCTCACGCACAGACGAGCTGTGCAACTCGGTGAGAATCGGACGACTCTACAAGGTGATAGGCATTCCTGCTCTTGTGCACCAGTGGCCAAACATGACCTGGAGTGTAGAGGCAAACAGCATCCAACTGTGGGAGCCAAAGGGTACTGCAGAAGTGACACATGGATCGTCCACATATTGATCTTTAATTATAAGCTTGTTCAAACAGAAATGATGTTTAATACCTCTCACTATAGATTGCCCTGAAGTTTCTCCCAGATTCCAGCAGCTGTTGAACTGGACAGCCTCTTCTCCCTGGAGGTTCTCTGCCATTGTMGCTCACTGCTTTGGGTTGGACCTGGCTCCTCCTGCTTTATACAACACACTGAAGCTGGGTTTGCTGCTCAGCTTGGTGCAGACCAGAACTGATGCGGATGACTCGTTTCACAGCTTGGACGTCCTCGTCGTCACAAGTGACGCGCTCATACTCGACAGGTGAAACTCCATTTCGCAATCCCAGATCCCAAATCTCGATCCGCTTCAGTCGGGTCCACCCTGATTGGACCTAACCGTCGCTAAGCAACTTTAATTTTTCTCTTTACCTCTGTTCGTCAGACTGATGACTTTCAGCTTGAGTTTGGCGCGCCGTGGAATAAGACATCAGGCCTCAGGGGAGATGTTTACATCTCTGTCCAGAGACGAACACGGAGCAGGGACCGCTAACATCCACGCTGGTTCTGCTTTACTCGCTACTGGGGGCATTTGCATGCTGGGAGATCTGGGCTGTTATAAAAAGGACAAACTGGATCACATTCAGTCAGGTACAGAACTCAAAAAGAAGTTTTTGACAGCTGTAGAAGAGAAGGATAATTTGACAAAGCAGTGTAGCAGACAGATTACAGCAGGGATGTCCAAAGTGTGGCCCGGGGACACATTTGTGGCCCCTAAACTGACTTTGTGTGACCCCTGACTTCAGTTCAAGAATTATACTAATTTGTTTACAAATTTGTTCCGCCGGCACAGGTGTCTGAGGTAGATGGAGACTTTCTATTTCTTATTAGGGCAAACTTATCACAAAGTAAAATTGTATAATAAAAATATTGGCAACAATACCAATTACTTGTCTTTAAATAACCAGACTCTTTAGCTTTTTCCACATCTATTGCAAAAATTTTCAGTAACGGAAAACTGCAAAACACTTTTAAAGTTCTGGATCTAGTTTAATTTACGCACCCATTTCCAGCAATAAATCTGACTGTTTAATTAAAGTATTCAATGTTTAGTTTATTGTTGAGCAGGTAAAGGAAAAATATCTTTGGCCCTCAAGTCCTTCTGACTTTATGATTTTGGCCCAATGTGACAAAATGTTTGGACACCCCTGGATTACTGTATCTGCTTTAGTGTTTCCTGTATTTATTTTCAGTTCTGGAGAGCCACTCTGTGTCCGTGTTCATCCCTGGAAAGAAATATGGTGAGGATGCCGACCAGCAGCTTTCCTTTCCAGTTCAGTGCAGCTTTTGGGGCCTTACACACTCCTCTCAGTGTTCTGGGAGGACAGACTCTGCCGTGCTGGGAACTGCAGTGAGTGTAATAATATTTAAGGCCGTGCTTGTTTGAATCAGTGCTGAGATCTAAATCTTGTGAGCAGGAACTGGGTCCCATACCTGCTCAGTTTGCTGAAGCCTTTGGCCTAGTCATTCAGTGTGGAGACAGGGTTGGAGAACAGGCCGTCCATGCCCAGAGTGTCCACACCCTCCAACAGGCAATGCAGCCTGGAACACAGCCCTACCCATCTCACTGGGAGTTCTCAACCCAAGATTATAAAGAGGTTTGTGAACAAGAAAAAGTAATTTGAGTCGTTATGAAAAATAGAAAATGCAGCTTGTTTTTCTCTCTGCCAGCTGGTGGCTCATTGTCAAAATCTGCAAGTGGAGCTCAGCCCCGAAGCAGAGAAATTAATCCACGGTTACTACATGGCGAGTCGTCGAGCTCGGACCCAGAGTCAGGGCGTCAAGATTTCTTTGGCTTCTATCAAACTACTGTAAGCATTTGACGCAATGCCACTGCCACCCAGTAGATGGAGCTCTAACCCAGATATTGCTCCTAAATGGCCATTTTTCACTGCATTATGACAATTGTTTACACATCTCTTCCACTGTGGTGACTTTAATGTGGAACTTAAACTAGGAAAATTGACTTTAATGTGGAACTTAAACTAGGAAAATTAATCTGTTTTCAGCAACATAGGACAAGCTACATTAAGCTCTAAGTCTTAAAAAATATGGTATACATTTTTTATCCACTTAGATCCTAATGTATGATGTATTCAATCAGATTTAAAAATGGTTTTTAGTATGTGTGCAGTAATTTGTATTTTGCAGGCTCTCCTTGGCTGAGGCCCACTGCAAGTTATGCCTAAGAACTCGAGTCCTGGAGGAAGATGCTGTGGTTGCTGTGCTCCTGTGTGAAAACTCAGTCACTCTCAAGCATGGTAGTTATTTATCACATCTCCTTACATGAAATAGCAATGTTGTAACCAAACTATTTTAAAAACTTGAAAATATGCTGTTTGTTTACATCTTCCATACTGCTATTACAGCATTATCTAGTTATCGTAACAGGCTGTATTACTTTTTATTCTGCATTTGTTTGTTTTTAAAGGGGCCTCGGCTCTCATCATTCCACCTGATGCAGTGTTTCCTTGTGACATGGGAGACATGGAGGGTTTGCAGAGGAGAGACATGATCCTGGATGAGCTCCACCAAAATATTTTACGCTTCATTTATACCTACGCACCTGGAGCAGACACGTACATCGCAGAGGAGTGATACATCATATTTGAGAAAAAACAAAAAGACTGAAACAGAAGTTTCTTTTTCTTCCAAATTTTATTAGAGAATCAAATTTAGAGAAGAAAACCTTGAGATATATATGCATTTAAAATATTAAAGACTGTTTTTATTACAAAACAGTAATGCATTTAAAATATTTACATTTGTGGTTTCTGACAGATGTGAAACAATGCAGCTGTGACCCAAGTTAATGTGTTTCATACTTACCTTCCAAGCAAGGCTGAATTTTTCTGACTTCATAACTTTGTCAAAAGAAAGAAAGAAAAAASAGTAAATCAGTTAAGTTAAGCAGCATGTCATCTGTATGGTTATAAATCTGAGTTTCAGTTCAGTTTGTCACAATCTCAGCAGCCCAGTTTGGTCAGATGGGTAAACGGCAAAAAAGTGAACTCATCATAATTTTAAAACACAGTTTATAATCTAGAATACTGAAAACATTAAACTTCAGAGGCTTTACTCACCAAAGATGAAGCTCTAACATGATATTTCCCTGCAGAATGAAGAGAATTTTTATCAGCTGAATTTCAATCTAAAAAAATGGTCAGTTTTTGAAACTCTTGTTTGAAATAAAAAATAAACAATTTGCAGCTGGTACATCAGTAGTCACAATATCACCATGTTGAAGTCTGACGGGTAAACGGCAAAAATGTGAACTCATCACTTTTCCAGCTACGTATGACACRTGAAACATTTAAACCGGACTTCTATCGTGTGGCTTTTTATAGAAATATGTCAGCAATCATTTACCCACASTGGACATGAAAAATGCCCGGCGTCAAAATAATATCACTGAATACATGTAAAAATAAAATAAAACAGAAGAGGACTCACCTCATCAGAACAAGATTTATTTTGCTTGGAAAACGGGATGAGATCTGAATCAGTGAAAAAAAAAATAGATACATTACTTCAATAAGAAACTACATACAACATACATTTAATTTAAATATGCTGATGTTTCAGTTAGTCACAAAGTCACCATTTTATTGTCTGATGGGTAAACGGCAAAAAGTGAACTCATCATTTCAGAAATAAGAACCAGAATATAAAGTCAGAGGAGAAACACCACTCACAGCATATAGAGAAGACGTGTCATTTCCAGTCATTATCCAGCACCTTGTTTCAGGTCCTGAAAGGAGGGAAAAAATACCATAAGGACACATTTAACCGAGGATCATGCCTTTATCTAAGACCTTACAACTATTCTCTTTAATGGAAGAGATGCCACAGACTTTGAGCTTGGATGATTAAAGTGCACTGAATGGTTAGCCAATATGATGCGGACGGATGACTGATCACCTGCAGGTCAAAGGGTGCAGCCTAACACAGCTTGGAAGCACAGCCAACATGGCAGATCTGAGGGGCAGGTTCAACAGCAGGTCACCACATTTGAAATGACCTCGTGTCCTTTGAGGGTGGCGGGGCCGCTCCTTCACAGCGAAATATTGGTGGGCCGACTTCTCTGACCAGGGTTTCAACCGATGACCTCTCAATATCAAAACCGAGCCACTCGGCAAGCTTTACGACACTGGGGACATTATTTCCCACCCCCCCTTTTTTTATACCTGTCCAAAAAATGATTTATTGGTGGACTTCAGGGATAAGACCTGTCCATTCTCAAAGTCAACGTGACACCGTTCGTCACGTAATATTAAACAGTAAATTACTTGGTGGACAGTTGATAAGTGGATTATTTTGTTTTTAACTCACATATTCCTTCAAATATAATATATACAAGAATGTAAAAATACGAACATCCAGTCAAACTCTTGGTGGATATGTGGCTAAATGACGTGATTGCTTTGCACTACATTGTGTACACCTGTTCCATAATGAGTCCAAGTATTACCTATTTTCTAATAACTTACAATTAAAGCTTTATTCAATATATTCAGAAAAATAGATTAAAGCAGGTCTAAATCTGGATTGTCCTATCCTGGTCCTCAAGCGCAACGATCCTGCATGTTTGAGGCTGTCCAGCTCCAKCACACCTGTTCTGAATGARAGGGTGATTAACAGGCTTTTCTGCATAACATGGAGGTAATTTAAACACTAAATCAGGTATTCTGAAGCACAGAAACAAACTAGGAACTCCTACAACAYGAGCAGCATTAAGTGACTAAACCAGTCAATTTAGTTGAGAAAATAGTGATCAAGTATAAATGATTTTTGCTTTTCAAAGATGAGTGATAAAAGTTCCTGAGACAGTCTTTCATCCTGATGTTAGCCAGATGTGGAACAGACTAACCACATCTTTTATGAGGCTTTTGTGAAACTAAAGTATTTGATTAAACCAGGATAAACACAGCCAAGGTCTGAAACGTTTTCACATATCCAAACTTGAACTGTTTGGATTGCATCAGATTCTGACCGCGTGGTGAAACCCTGGCCCTCCTTCCGTCCACATYAACAAACGTGTCAGGCAGCGTGACTTTTAAAAAAGTACAAATCTCATCCTGCACTGTTGTAACTGACCTGCGGGTTTTCGCCCTAATTCTCGAAAGTAAAAAGTAGTTTCATACTACAAGAGCTTAGCCACCAGTAAAACACGTGGCCGGGATGCTAACTAGCTATTCGCAAACTCCGTATTCAAGCGTTATTTAAGTGGGAGGACAAACACAAACCTACTGCAATTTAAGCTTAACCAACAAACACACAATGAAAATCCACTATARCTCACCTGTGGAGATATTAGACTAGCTGCATGGCGGTGCTGATGCTCCTCACACGACGGTCCACGTTAGAGAGAGAAAGAGGAACTTCCGGTATGCGCTGAGTCTGCGCACCAGAGCTGCGCAGTGCACCACATGAAGCCCACAGACTGTCTGCGTTTTTACAGGTGTCACAAATATTCCTTAGCTGCTATAATTTGGCCATTACAAAAAAGGCGATTTTTTTTGTGTATTTTTATTTTTTTACTCACAAATTTTAGTTTATTGTCTGATTTTTCTATTAAATACCCCCCCCCCCCTTTTTTTTTCTTTTATGGGCTATTCATAGA